AGTCTACTGCTGGGGAGGGGGAAGAACCTGGAGAGAAGCTTTCTGCAAGGTGAGGTGCGGAGGGAAGACCTATCCCGGAAGCACATCAGCACCAATGATATACACAAAGTAAGCTAGAGCAAATTGAAGGATGTGATGCTTTGAAGGTAACCAAAGCAACAAGACCCAAACTCGGCTAAACTCTTGAACAGAACTCAATTCATAGAAACAGAGACTAGAATAGTGGTTACCAGGGAATGAGAGATGGGAGAAACGAATAGATGTTAGTCAAAGAGTACAAACTTCCAGTTATAAGATGAATATAGAGGTTTAATATCAACACGGCGATTACAGTTAACAATACTATATTTGAAATTTGCTAAGAGAAAAGATCTTAAATGTTCTCACCACAAAAAGGAAATGATAATTATGTGACATGATGGAAGTGTTAGCTGAGGCTATGATGGTAATCATTCTGCAATTACATATGTGTATCAAGTCAACATGTTGTATACCTTAAACTTACACAGTGCTCTATTTCAATTATATCTCAACAAATCTGGAAAAAAACAGTCACAAAAAAATATTTAAGGAAGAACTTTTATGACTATGTTTTATTTATTTGTAGTTTTAATATCTAGGCTCTTTTCCACTGAACCATCAATTTTTGATACGTCTATTAGACAATTCCTTAACATATCATACATTAAGTAGTTTTAATTTCAAGTACAAACCACCGATAAATTCAAAGTATAAAATTTTAATTTATCTACTATCTATTTTTATTTTAATAGCCTGATTTCCATGTCTGTATTTTTTTCTGCATAAACAGACTCTAACTTAGCAACTTTCTCTGATACCAGTGTGTTTTCTATGATTGCTGAATTCCCACAGGCTTTCATCATTTCTCTTTCTCCTCGAGATCAGGGTCTCCAAAGTTAATGAAGTTGACTAACCATTTATGACTCACCAGCCTCAAAACTCAATTTTTTTTATTACTCTCCCTTTCTACCTTCATCTTTCTCCACTGACTGAAACGTAGTCTCAGAGGACTTCTGTTTCTAGGCTGAACCCACTTATATAAAAAAGTAGGTTTCTCCAAGTCTAACTTCCCATGAAAGTTACACAAACCAAAATAACATACAAAGGAGTGAATCACCTGTGTTTAAAATACATCAAATCATTTTATAAGTTGATTCTATTTATACTTTTAGCAATTTGACCTGGTATCTTAACTCTTTTCTATACAAAACCAGGTCTTCCCAAGCCTGTATTTTTATGACAGCATCTATTTTGCGTTTTCCAGATATGATCTCTAACAATGGGACCACCTAAAGAAAACACCGCTGGCAAATGACTGGTTCTGTTCTTGAATAAGATACATTTTTAAAGTTCTGTTTGTTATTAATGCACTTAGGAAGATAAGCCAAGGAGAGTGTGTATGGGGAATTTCCTGAAGACTTTATTATGAAAATTGAACATAAGAAATGAAGTAAATATGTTTATATTTTGATGTTGATCATGCTTTGGATAAGAATGTACAATGATTAGACATCATTTTTTAAGTATCATAATCTGACCACAATGTTGATTTTATTTATAGCATTCTAGAACATTATTTTTAAAAGAGCATACTGCATCTAATCCAAGAAAAAGTCCATAATTATAAGCCAAAAATTCTACCTCTCCTCTTTCACACACATGTTTTGGTTATAGATTGTTAGGCTTGGCTTTCTTCTAATGAATAGTAAGAGGAAAAGAGATGATTGCATATGATCTTTATAAAAGAACGTTGCTATATTCTTTTTCTTTCTTTTCTTTTTTCTTCTTTTCTTTCCTCTCCTTTCCCTTCCCCCTTTTCTTTTCTTTTCCCTACACAGAAACTGAGGCTTACAAAGGTAAGAGACATGCCTAAAATCTCTCAACTAATTAAGACGAGTGCAAAGACTTTTTAAAAATGTGCAGTTTAACTCTGGAGCCCATGCTTTAAAGCACTGCTTCACTGCATGATGTTGAAGTGACAATGGAAACAGACACAGGATTGCATGTATATCTTGCTCTATCGCATGATTGTTTGAGATGATTCTTGTCCCTTAACCTAAATGCCTTAAAACTTATGCCTTCAAAGAAACAACCCAATATAGTAGCTACCAGTAGTCAAAGTATGTTCCAAGAAAGAATATGAACAACATATCTCTCACCTGTCATATATCTCAGAGGAAACCACCAGAAATGTGAGGGTAGTCTGCCTTAGAACCATGGGAGTACTGCTTTCTTTCTTTCTTTAAAGACTATATCTGAAAAACAGACTTTCTTTCTGGTTTGTAAATGCTTTGTTGTTAAGCATTGTATTCAGTTGCACCATAAGAGTAGATTAAATTTGATTAAAATAGTCTTTTTTAAATTTCTTTTGTTCACTTATGAGCATCTGGAACAAATTTCAAGGAAATTAAAACCTTAAGTATAGTTTGACGTTTCAACTTAGGTGAATTTAAGACTTTTTTGCCAGTTTTTCAACGAAGTGATTATAGTTTCACTAAGGATGAAAGAAACTAAAGATGATATGGCCCAGCACTAGTGTGGTAAGGGAGTGGTAAAGTAGCTTTCTTATAGACTGACAATAGTGCTAACTCAGGAAATTTTTATAAAAATCAACCTGGAAAAGTATGTCAAGAACATTACCATATTAACACTGTTCGATCCAATGATTCTACTTCTAGTGATCTACTATAAGCAAAACCACTGGTAGAGACAAATAGTTATGTACAAGGCTATCATCACAACGGTATTAATAATCAAAACCTGGAAAAAACCTAAACATTTGATAAAGGGGAATTAAATAGACATTGCACACATCCATATAACATAATAATATGGTGACATTGAAAGATTTTTTTAAAAATTGCAAATCCAATCCTATAATATGTGTGTATTTGTGCATATAAATATGGACATGGGCAAGTATGAATGTATGTATAAGCATATATGCACAACAATAGATGCAGATACTTACTGAGAGAGCAAGACAGAAAGAAGACCGAGGGACTGTGGGTGATTTTTAATTATTTATCTGATTTTCTAACTTTTCTAAATGAGCACATGTTATAGATAGGGTGATCTTATATCCATCATTTCCTAGAATAGCTGTCGTTTACCCCAGAGCAATTACTTTTAGTGCCTCAATTTACTAGGAAAAGTGTCACTGGACAATAAATTGCATGGTCTGACTAAGTATAATTCAGGAAAAAAAAGGCTTAAAAATAAGCACAAGGTGGCGTACAATTGAACTATGAGTACTTGCACAAGAAACATGAAGGATATATAAAATTTAGCTCAATATCTATTATACACAAAATGACTAGAATTTTTAATTACATAGAAAGAATGAAGGTTATAATATTGATACAACCTATGTGGACAATAACATAATTTGTGAACAAAACCTATTCAAAAAATAATATCTGACGTTCCAGCAATTGCATATGTAACTGTAAATTTCAGACACTTCTGAGTGAGCAAGTTTTTAAAGATTTTCTGAAGTATTTGGAGTAATGTCAACAACAGGGATTATTAAACTTTGCAAATGTACTAACAGTAGAATGCCACATTAAATGCTTCCTCAAAGATAGTGAACTGATTTTTCACCTGAATTTCCTCTAACACTAATAGAAACATCTGAACCATAACAAACAAGAATTTAAAAGTACCTCAGAGGATAGTTATTCTAATACATTCTAAGTAGGAAAGAACAAAAAAAGAACATATGATGAAATAAGTATAAATTGACGCAACTTTAAGTACATTTTCTCTACTTCCTGTCACAGTTCTCTTCAGTGAACTTCATAAATAATCCCTGAAATTATAATCTTCTGAGTACCACATCAAACCAGCCTTAGTCTAAGCATTTAGTTCCTACTATTGTTTCACTCCCTCCAATGTCACATAGCCAACCTCTGCCTCTCTCCTGAGAAATTTAAAGAAATCAAATTTCAGGGATGCGTTTGAAACAATGACTGGCACAACACTCTGGCTAGTAAGTCTGTTCTTTTTTAACAACAGTCTTGGATTAAACATGGAATGGATCATCCTTAGGCCAGTCAGGAGACAGATGCTCACAATGTTGATGGCCTATGCGATGAAGGGAGCCAGGACACGCAGGAAGGGAAGCCAGCCAACAACAAGAACCCCACTGCATGGTGATACCTGTTAAACAACATGCACGTAGGTGATTCCTGTTTTCCCTCATGTACTGCTTGTTTTTCTTCAAATGAAAAGCCATAGACTATTGTATGAAATGTACTACCTTCATTATATCTGTAGATAGTGCTTTTTGGATCCACTGAATTAAGACAGAGATATAGAAAAGGGAAATGTTAATCAAACGCATCCTTTGTGGGGAAAAATATATAAACTTTAAGGTTTAAGGTGATTGCCAATTCACTAGAAGTCAGACATGTGATTCAACAACAGAAGCAATCACAGAAGCTCAACAGCAAAAACAGAACAAGATGAGAAATGATATCTACTGATATTCTGATCTATGCTTATCAGAGTATGCCGTAAATACTGTGTTCTGTTCTGTTAGCCAGAGATGTAGAGAAAATGGCTGAAAACAAAACAAAAACACAAAAGAAAGCAACCAAAATAAATAACAGCCATAACAACAACAAAATCCAATAAAAAAAGCGCACAAAATAGAGAGAAGGTGGACTGATCATGTGCAGACTGACCTATGGACCCACATGTGTTAACCTTAGAGAAAAGGAGACCCAGTGCGGTTATGTAGTTCTCTTCAACAATAGAAAATGCAGGCACATGGAAAGGAGGCAGTTTTGTCTGAGCTTTTCACAAGGCAGGCCTAGAAATTAAAGATAAAAGGACATTACATAGTTATAAGAATATTATAGAAAATAGACGGGTCCAAAATTAAATAAGGCTGCTTTTTGAAATAACGTGTCCATCCACATCATTAAAGGTATTCACAGAGATGTTCAATAACAATGCGATAACAGCAATAAAAATAAACTTAATGCTTCTGAGCACCTTTTATGTGCCAGGTGCCAACTATTCTGCACATGATGCTTCACTTAGTCTTCTCAACTACCTTTTGATATAGGTGTTATTAGCCCCGTTTTATGCAGAAGGAAACTATCCTCTCCAAGTTTACAAATCAAGAAGTAAAACCCAAGTTTATGGCTGAGTACTCTAATTTTAAAATCTGGTTTCCAATTTCTGGAAGTGGTAGAGAGATGCTACAGGAATCAGTTAAATGGCTGAATTAGACAAATCCATGTCATTTCTACCATTTCTACCAATTCTACCATTCCCTGCCTTAACATTTCTATGGAGGTTAGCCAGTTGATTCAATATATTCTGTAAAATGCTACCAAAGTTGCCCTCCCCGTATGCGACAGAAAAGATCCTGCACGACATGAAGTTCCTGCCATGCTTCATGCCCAAAGCCAAGGAGCACCATGCTGAATTAAGGACTGCAAGAAATCCGAGAAGGTGGGACTTTATCCCTTGCCTCAGGCAACCTTCAGTTTAATCAAGGAAAGTCAGGGTTACAACCATGTGAGAGAAAGGCAAATACAGTTTGGTGAGCAAGAGGAAGAAGGGAAGAGTCATGACAAGTTGCTTTCCAGAGCTCTTTTGAATTTTGAATTTTTGCAAAGAGATCCTTATTCAGGGAGGGAAGTCCAGTGCCAGTGGCCTGGGGTGTGTTTTCAGATGCTGTGTTTGGAAAGGATGTCCATGATTCTGTAGCCAGGCCAGACTTTTGCTGTGACTGTCTTGCCAGCTGGAAGTTTCTTGGGGGGCAGAGAGGGGAACAAGACTGTCTTAAGAAATTCTGGGTTAAGGAGGCCCATATCCCTCTTGAACCAGATATTTAAAAACAGAAATGAAAAAATTCTCTGGTGGAAATCAGAGATGTGGACCAGCCCCCATATCAAATTTCTTTAAATAGAGGCAGTTATCTCATCCAGTGGTGTGCAAGATCCACCTGACTTTGCACCTTTAAAGTAGTAAAAGTGGGTGAGGTACAAACCAGAAGTGAGAGGAAGGTGAAGTTCTTGGGAGCATAAAGAATGACCTAAGTGATGAGAATGTTACTGAACAAAAAGGATTCTAAAGGCAGCAGGAGGGAGAGGGTGACGCTGTGTATTATCAACCTCTGCACAATCCTCTGATTGGTTGATGGTGAGGTAACAGGGTGATGTTTCAGAAATCTCAGTTGTCAACTGTGGTTGACCAGAAGGGTCTAGGGTTTACATGTGGGTGGTCAGAATGCAGCTTACTTCTTCCACTTGGTGGTGGTTTTAGTATCTGCAAGGCAATTCAAGGGTACGGCTCAGGATACTACCTGTAGCTCCTGAGGGGGAACTAAAGGTCCTCGACTTCGTTTATTCGCTAACCTATTATTATTTTATCTTGCTTGAATGTTTTCCTTTGTTTCTGCTTTTTCTCATTTCTCTGACTAAATCTGCTCTTTGGAACTTGGGGAACGCCTTGGAATCTAAAGTTTTTCTACAAACAAGAGGTGGGGGACACTGGGGTCCATCCCTGGGAAGGCCCTGCAGGGTCTTGCTCAGTTTTAAGCGGAGAGAACTTCAGTCAGAAACTGAATTTGCCTGCACTCACCTCTGGAGGAACTGATTGAAAAAAAAAACAAATTCTGCTCGAATGCTAATCCAGTCATCTTAGGTGAAAAGAGCTCGCAATGAGCATATACACGATTTGTTGGGACACAGTGTTTTCCTACAGAGGGAGAGTAATGGTAAAAAGCATTTTAAAACTATTATATTGGTGCTTTTTATGTTGTCCCTATGAAATCATGTTCTCAGGCTGTTTTTTCAGCAATTATAGTTGCAAAGAAAAGGAGGTGGGGGAAACTTCCTTGGGAAAGAGGATGACATGACGTAAATGACACCTCGGCCGTAGTGAAGACATAGTGAACGGCCTGGGTCTACAGTCCTGGCAGATTTGCAAGAATAGAGGGGAAGGCATACAAAAATGGTGAGAGATATATATTCTGGCCTTTCTTCTACGAGTCTCAGAATGGGGAGATCCATTAAAGAGGCAGAAGCCCAAAAATCAGTGTTTCCACCTCTACCTGAGATTCTAGCAGGAGACATACATCCCTGCTCGCCACACTGTCATTCATTACATTGGACAGCCATGGCAGAGAAATAAGGGTAAGGGGGTAGTTTTTAGGCAGAGAGAAAGAACCTAGGCTTTTGTTTGTTTTTAGTTGCATAGTACCGTGTTTACCAAATTGGAATAAAATAAGGGTTTTCCAGTTAACACGTGCTTGAGGATGCATGAAGATAGTTTAGATGAGTTATGAAAAGCAAAAACTGTAAATATTTTATTTATTTAAATATTTTATTTGTTCATCTGAATATGGAATATACATTGGCAAATCCATAAATTAATTACTAGAGAATTACTGATAAGTTGCACACTAGATGAGCCCGACAATTCTAGCTTCCTTGAGATTCTAGCATGTTTGTAGGTCCCAGATTTGTTATGCTAATTAAACACCAGGTAAAATTATTGCCTTCTTCCTTCCTATGCACTTGCGCTTCCTATGACGACAATGTAATGGCAACATTGCTTTTAAGTATGTAGGCAAGCTGCCTTCCAGGAGTTCTTCAGTTTTGGTTCTACCAATATTGTTTACAACTTTATAGGTTTTCTGCAGTTTTGAAAGCAATACTCACCTAAAATACCTGCTCAAAAACACCTAGGAAGAAAAGCAGTGAAATTGTGACCACAATCTTTATTTCTAGCCAAAAATACATCTAGGGAAAATAATAGTGAATGCAAAATTTGTTGTTACAGCTCCATTCAACACATTTAAATAGTATTCTCTCATTTGAACATTTCTTCTCTGTACTTACTACCCTTGCTCCTATCTATTTAACTCCATTGCCTTTAATTTACTGCATCTCACTGGACTGTCTGATCCAGTTCTAAAGAAAGGCAGGTAATCTGTATTAGTCTACTACAGAGTCTTCTACTGCTGCCATACAAAGTTACGACAAACTTAGCAGATTAATGAAACAAATTTATTTTCTTACAGTAGTCAGAGCCATGTTCCTTTTGGAGGCTCTAGAAGAGAATTTGTTACCTTATTCATTTGGAAGGTTGGCAGAATTCAGTTCCTTGATGTTGCAGGCTGAGGTCCTCACTTGTTTGCTGTCTAATCAGCTCAGGACTATTCCCAGCTCCAAGAGGCACCTGCATTGGGCTTGGCATCTCCTTCCTCCATCTTCGAAGTCAGCAACAATGGGGAGTCCCTCTCACAATCTGAATCTCTCCTTTCTCTTCTTTCATCTCAGTTCTCTAACTAGCTGGAGTAAGTTCTGTGGTTATAGAAGATCATGTGATTAATTTGGGCCCACCTGGATAATCTCAGATTTTCTATCTCAAGGTCTGTAACCTTAATGATACCTGCAAAGTCCTTTTTTCTGTATGGTAACATAGTAACAAATCCTGAGTCACACATCTTTGGAGAGCCATTATTCTGCCTACCACAGGAAGACAGTGGAATGTTGGTGCTTCTTTTTCTTTACCAGTAAATGATAAATGATGGGGCTAAGAAAACATTGCATTTCCAGTTCAAACATGCTGCTTTCATAGTATGATGCTGATGATAACCTACATTTTACTGACATTTACATTTTCCCCTGTCTTTAAAAGCATATTCTCAGCCTTTTCAATATGTCAAGTAAATCTGTTAAATCCACATATGCATCTTCATAAAATAATCTAAGAACACCACTTCCAAAGAGGCTGATTATTTGCAGTTCTTATTTAAATGATCTCAATTTCATCATTCCATATGGTAATGCTTCAAGAGACAGTGATTTTTCACAGGTGGATGGTTTCATGGTTGGCATCAAAAGAGGGCTCCCTCAAGTCCAAATGGTGTTTATAGGGCACTGTTAACTTTAGGTATGTCAGAAGCATCCCAACAAGCAGAATTATTACTATTGATTTGAGATGGATGCTATAGGGCACCGCCAACATCTCCTAACAGAAACAAAGGCTTTATATTCACAACTGCTAAGAGTGCTGCAGGAAGACTGCCTTCATCCTTCCCTAGGGACTATCTAGCTACTATGCTCAAGGTGGAAAGTCCTTCTAAGGTCATGCAACATCCAGTGACTGATTACCATGGGGTAGAAAGGCTCAGCCCCTTGCCCAGCTCAGAACAACTCTGAAATGCCATTCCAGCTCCAGTACTCCTGGGACAGCAACACAGGCTTTTGTTGGAGCTAAATCATAGCTCGATTTCTTCCTCTTCTCAATCCTAATTTCATCCCTTCCCATGTCTACAGGAACTGATCTCAAGCATGTTCCCTAATAAACTTCCTGCATGGTAAACTGTCTCAGATATTGCTTCTGATATAAGACAATCTGCAACATGCTCAGAGCTTTATTAGCATGAAAGATTATGTGGATCAACACTAGTCTGCATGGAAATTAATGCAAGTTAAAGTCATCTCAAGTATTAAAAAATGAGGATGAGGATGACAATGACGATTTTTTGAAAACACGAGTAATCACAGAGTTCATATTACATGATATATAATAACCTAATAAAGCAACTACATTTTTGTAAAAAGGTAAACACAAATTGATAATTTATCACAAAGGTTTGTTCTCTCATATTCTCTCCATAGCTTAATGCAGATATGTCAATGTCTTCATTATTAGAACAATTCTTTAATGTTCTGTTTTAGATCTGTTTTAAGAATTATATTATAGCCAGAAGGGCATAAATGCCACAGTGGTACAAAACATTATTTAAAATCAATCAGTGAGAGATATTTTGCTCAATTGTATTAGATAATGCTCGACATGGTAGGCATTCAGTGGGGTTAACACAAAGGCTTTTAATCTGCTAAAGAGTTTATGATATTTTACTACTTTTCAACAGAGAAGTGTCATGATCCAAATCATGTATCCATAGGACCAACCTGAGAACAATGTACAATGTCATCATAGGAAAAAAGACAAGAGAGGTAATGTAAAAAGCTAGGACACTGTAGCAACTGAGAGATATAGAGGAAACGATCTAGGAAAGGGAGTAAAAGCAGATGTGGAAGGAACTGCAGCAGGAGAAATAAGAGGTCTTGTTTGATTGAATGTAGGAGGCAAGTTGAAGAGTTATTACATAACTTTGACTTTTTTGGCCATAAGCGACATGGCAAACCATGCTTCCTACAGAGGTAGAGAAGTATGGAAAAAGCTGTTTGGGATAAAAGCTGTTGTATTTGGTTTTGAATATATGCAGTTACAGATTGAAACAAATCTGGGAATGAAACAAGAGAACAATTTAAATAGCTTAAATAGCATTGTACTTAAGATACTTCATGGACTTAAAGCAGAAACAAATAAATGAATTGAACAGTACAGATAATTTAAACGGAGGCGGTTTTTCCCCTACAATTGAGTATTCAATCAAACCTCTCAGAGTAAACAGAGTAACTGATTTTAATGCTTTCTTCAGTGCAATGCAATTACAAATTCAACTAAATATAGCACTAATATCTTCTTTCAAATGTCTTTACAAATAAGAGAGAGGGATGGTATAATTAATTCACAACAGTAAATAACACAAAAAAGCAGCTATTCAAACACATATATTAGGATTTGGATATGTTTTTGTAGTGGATAGTGATTGCTGTTCTGGAACTGAATTACATCAGACAGACATCAGAAGTCAATAATGAGGACTGCACTAAGGAGAAGCTGGTGTATCAGATTTATTCCATGCAAGCTCTTCTCACTGGCTCTAGTCCGTGGGACACAACTAACTGGACCCAAACTTGCCCAGCCTTTCTCCGTGGAGGGGACAGCGTCATCAGTGGGCAGAAGGGAGGAGACGCAGGGCACCTAAGCCCCTGCAGTTTGGCTGTTTGTGATACAACAATCCTGATGGGGTTATCATTCTACCTTTGTATTATCTACAAAGCAAGCTTGTGCAAGTCAAATCACTAGTATAAAAAACTGAAAGGAAAAGGTTGAACCATCATAATTACAAAATTTTCCTAAGTGACTTTTTAGAAAATTAACTGAATGCTGCTAATTATAAATGAGATTATTTCACTCAAACAGGCTTGGATGGCATTTAACATAAAAGTTTATTATTCAAAATACTCTATGTATTTTAAAGTAATAGTGCTATAATATAATTTTATAGTTTTATACTTAGTTATTTAGAAGAAAAACATTTTGATTAATTTCTTAAATACATTTTTAAAATTCGATTTTTCAGGAGAAATACTTATACTTACACAAAATAATACGCTAAATTCAGTTAAAAGTAAGTTGCACTTTTTAATATTCTATCTCTAGTTAGATTTTCTCACCTCCTCTGCTTTCCATTTCCCTTATTTTCTTAGAAAAGGACAAAATCACTTACGTATGAACACACACACGTATACAGACACATACTTCCTGCATTCAGGTGGATGTGGACATATATGGCAGACTACAGCAATGGCCATGACTTTCCTCCCTCGATTAATTGATTATTTAAACTGAGATTGAAAAGGAAAGGGAAACAGGCTCAACCCTGAAGTCATCTCCAATTGATCTCTCTCTTCTTCCCTCATGCAGACCCACTACACTTGCTTTAAAATAATCCTTCTAAGATTTATAATTGATGAAGGAAGTAAGAATCTAAGAATTAAGTAGGTTTTGCTTTATATTTCTTTTTAAATCATCTTCCTTTCATAAATAAGAGTAAATATCGCAGAGGTTGATAAAATTTGCCAAGGGCAGGCACCTAGATGTCATGTGATTATCACTCACCCATCTTCGATTACAGATATTGAAGGAAAGAGATTCTTTTATAAATTAACTATAAAAGAAATTGGTTTTCTCTCTAACTTATTTGTTTAATGCCGTTTTGGTATTAACTCATGCTATATTATGTATCAAAAAATAAATCTCTGATTTAGCGTCAATGGTAAGCCTTTTTGGTGCACAGTTTCTTGAGAATTCCCCACTGGACTCCCCTTGGTTATATATTGCCTGCCTGGAGAAACAGATTCTCTTTTCAGTTTATTGGCATTATTTTAAGTACCTAAGTTGTCCCTGGATTTGAATAAGTACATATATATTAGACTTGTTCAGAGATTGCTGGTACCTCATGTATTTTTCCCATTTATATGACTGGCAGTTAGGCTACATTTTCTTGTCCCTTACATCAAAGTAGTGCCATGTCACCATTTCTCACCAACAGAATGTAAGTGGAAGTGACACACATCATTTCCTGGCTGACATGGTTATATGCATGTGTGCTTTCTCCATGCTCTTTCTCTTTCTTTTTCCGATTAATCAACTGAAGAGAGAGAACTTCAAGCATATAAGAGGTCAAAGCTACAGCCTGGAAGGAACCCAGGTCCCTATTTTACTTTATAAAGCAGGGAGACCACCTTTCTGACCTGCACATGACTGAGGTCAGCAAGAAACAAATTTTACTATTAAGCATTAAGATATGGGAGATATTTTTCCAACAGTTAAGGAATTCAAAATAAGATAAGCATGAGCCTATCTACTACATAAAATTAGAACAATTCAGTAGCACATAATAAGCTGTGCTTAAACTGAATATTTAGAAAAAGAACTTTAAATTTCTAGTTTTTGTGTTTCAAACACTCTCAATGGCTCTTACTTTAATATTTGGCTTCCTTCATCATATAGATTGGAGCTTTTAATTTGTTTTAAATTTCTTCCTATATTCCTACCTGTATACTACAACTGTCAAAGAACAGATCAAAAAACAGTACTGAAATTTCCAAAAAGAAAAAAAAAGGATAGAGACATTCCATGAAATTTTCTGATCATGGATATGCCAAAAAGAATGAGTGACCCAGGTACTGAAATTAATAGTCCCCCCAAACAATTGACAAAGTTATCTTAATATACCAAATCATTATGGGTGTCTTGACATTTTTGATAGTAGAATAGTCAAAGTAACCTTTGTAAAGATTTTTATTACTGCACCATATAGCGGATTCCTAAGCAAGTAAAAAATATTTTTTTAGCAAAATTTTTTATGATATAAAATTAAAGATAATTTCTTAAAAATTCAACATTGAACCTTTTCTGGTGACTTCAGGCCCTCACTATACAAAAATCAATCTTCTCCAGTTAGTCCATCTCTCTCTAATTTTTCTAAACCAATTTTTAAAATTATATGTAATCAAGTATATTTGTATATATTTCATATGTGAGTCACATATAACACTTACTTCTTCAAACAGGCTTTCAACTACTCTAGAATATCTAGAATCCAATTCTTTGTATTCTCTAAGGCACCGAGCAAAATGATGGACACATGATAAGC